CATCAGTGACCTAGCTTCCCCTTTGCATTCTTTCTACCTTGAGATTTGCGCTCTCCTGCTTAAGTAAACCACACCCAGCCACTGAGATGTTTATAGAACAAAAAAGTAAAAGTTTGGCTTTGTACCTCCCTTCCTCTTTTTCCAGCATCCTTCTCTTCCCCCCTCCAGGCACCTGTGCTTAGCAATTTGGGTTACATCCTTCTAGAACAGTGGTTCTCAACCTTCCTAATGCCGCAACCCTTTAATACAGTTCCTCATGTTGTGACCTAACCATAAAATTATTGTCGTTGCTACTTCATAACTGTAATTTTGCTACTGTTATGAATCGTAATGTAAATATCTGATATGCAGGATGTATTTTCATTGTTACAAATTGAACATAATTAAAGCGTAGTGATTAATCACAAAACAATATGTAATTATATATGCGTTTTCCGATGGTCTTAGGCGACCCCTGTGAGAGGGTCGTTCGACCCTCAAAGGGGTCGCGACCCACAGGTTGAGAACCGCTGTTCTAGACCTGCAGTCGATGTGGTAAGCACTAGTGATATGTGGCTATTTAAATTGAGGGAATATCATTTAAATTTTACATTTGGAGTACTCGATAGTCTCAGTGGCTACGTGGCTGCTCTCTGACCAGGCAGATATCGAACATTTCCATCATTGCAGACATGCGTGGAGGATGCTGCTCTGGACCAGGGTCTCAAATCGGGGTGATTAACATCTGGGGCTGGATCATCCTCTGTGTGGTGCTGCCCTGTGCGTCGGAGGACGTTTAGCAGCATCCCTGGCCTCCACCCACTAGATGCCAGTAGTACCTCCCTTTCCTGCACCTGCATTTGGGACAACCAAACCGCCCTCTAGACATTGCCAACTGTCCCTGGGGCCAGAATTTATCCTTGGGCGGGGTCGGGGGAGGGGGGAGGGGAGGAACTCACCCCCCCGCCCCCCATTGCTGTAGACTGTTTTTTCCATATTGCTCTCAATTTTTCTTCCTGGGTCTTCCCAGTGTCAACATTGAGACGGTCACTTCCTGGACCCTGGCTGCCGGCAAGGTTGGTGCGTCACACAGCAGCTCAGCAAATATTCACTGAGTGGGTGCCGCTTGCCGGCACCGAGAGCAGGCGGGATCCTTCTCCCGAGCCAGCTCCTGGCTGCAGTAGTCACCTTTCCAGAAACACGGTTGCCATGGCACTCCCCCCTGTAATATTTGCTTTTCCCTTGCTGTCGGCCCGGCTGTGTGAAACCACTGCACATCAGCGGTCATAACCTTTGTTTGCTCTAGAGTCAATTTATAAGAAAAATCTACTTTGGCTTTTCTTTGTTTAAATGGTTGAAGCTGGAAGCAGTGCAGACTAAGTTATCTCTAGCCTTACATCTTTTACATTTTTATTTTGTTATATTTTTATTGATTTCAGAGGAAGGGAGAGGAAGAGAGAGATAGAAACAGCAATGATGAGAGAGAATCATGGATCGGCTGCCTCCTGCATGCCCCATACGGGGGATTGAGCCTGCAGCCCGGGCATGAGCCCTGACCGGGAATGGAACAGTGACCTCCTGGTTCATGGGTCAGTGCTGAGCCCGGGCCTAGCCTTACATCTTAACCTAGTTGAATAGCTGTTGATATTAACAGGTGAGAAAATTGTTTCATGTTTTTTTTTAAATCTAGAAAAATAACTCGAGAAGTAATATCTACTGTTTTAAAAAATATATTTATTTATTGATTGATTGCTTTTAGAAAGAGAGAGAGAGAGAGAGAGAGAGAGAGAGAGAGAGAGAGAGAAAGAGAAACATTGACTTGTTCCACTTTTTTTATGCCTTCATTGGTTGATTCTTGTATGTGCCCTGACCAGGGATCCAACCTGCAACCTTTTGGGCTGATGTTCCAACCAATTGAGCTACCTGGCCAGGCCTCAGTATCTACTATTAATTGAATGCCTGTTATGTTCTAGGTCCTGTCCTGTCCCTTTTCTGTATAAAATCTTTATCCTCATAGTAATTCAGCAAGGTGGGTCTTATCTTTTTACAGGGAGGGAAAATGGGCTCACAGATGCGTAGCTGGAAGGCACACAGCTGGTGTGGAGCAGGGCTGGGATGTGTTCCTAGTGTGTTCCTAACGCTGTCCATGTGGTCCTGCTGTGTTGAAACAGTGGCTCTCGCCTGTCACTGCTTTTTCAGCCTCTCCATTAATTCTCCCTCTTAGGGATTGTGCGGCGCAGCCATGTCCCCAGGCTGCCTGGGGTGTGGGGTGGGAGGTACTTTGCCCTGGCATGTGACAGACAGCTCCGTTTGGTATTAGGAAATAGCAGTAGCAGTCCACGACACCAGGTGACAGCTGTCACAACATAGCTCTGGGCACCTTCCTCCCAGACCTTGGAGGGGGAGGGACCTGAAGTCCACCCACGAGGCAGACGGGGTCTGGCAGCGGCCTGGAGGGGAAGAGCTAGAGCTTTGCAGGTTATGAATCCAGAAGTTGAGAAGGGCCTCGCTACCGCCTCTTCTGTTTGGACAGGCCGAGGGAAACTTGGTCACTTGTAAGTTGGCCACCACGCCCGAGGCTTCTGCTGCAGGACGTTAGTTCCCTAGATATGCTTCCAGACGCTGCAGTGATGTCAGAGTAACTCAGGGACAGGAGCTACATCACACTGAGACGGGTAGGAAGACACCCACTGCCTTTTCCAGTTTTCCGTCAGCATTGCTCACCCTGGCAGGGCCCCCTAACAGCAGACCCTGCTGTTCTCTCCGCGCTACAGGGAGGAGAAGCGGCCCCAGGCCCGGCCCCCGCTTCAGGCATAGCCGCTGTGTCCAGGGAGAGTCTAGCAGGACTTGTTAGCTTCTCATTGCGTTGATCATTGCATTGATTTTGGTATTTGCCTTCTTTGTCTGACAAAGTGTGATGCTGGTTTTCCATTTATGATAGTGACACGAAGTTACTTCTTAAAATACATTTATGTAAATGGAGTTCTGACCTGGGCACCGCTGAATTTGGGGCCGGGTCATCCTCTGTCGTGGGGCCCGTCCTGTAAGTTGGAGGACGTTGAGCAGCATCCTGGCCTGCTCTGCCTACTACCTACCAGTGGCTCACCCTCACCCCTGGTTGAGAATCACTGATGTCAGGTATGCAAAATTGTGAATTTAGACAATAGAGGTAGTTGGATATCGCAGAAATCCCGTGTATGAAAATGGCTAAAGTTTGGGAATCTGCTTAGGAAATTTTCTTCAATGTCCTCGCCTGTCTTCTTTGGCACTGGCGTCAGTTCAGTAGTCAGGTGGACGCCCTGGCCGGTGTGGCTCAGTTGGTTGGAGCATCGTCCCATGGACCACAGGTTTGATTCTCCGTCAGGACACATACCTAGGTTGTGGGTTCGATCTCTGGTTGGGGCGCGTTCGAGAGGCAGCCGATCGGTGTTTCTCTCTCACATCTATGTTTTTCTCTCTCCCCTTTCCTCCCTTTCTAAAAATAAAAAATAAAGTCAGGTGGGGAGGTGTCTTGAAAGGGAAGAGAGAAAGCAACGCTGTCCAGGAGAACTTCCTGTCATGCTGGAATGCTCTGTGTGCTGCTATGAACATAGGGGTGCATACTTTCTTTCTGATTGGTGCTTCGGGTTTCTTAGGATATATTCCTAGAAGTGGGATCACTGGGTCAAATGGCAGATCCATATTTAATTTTTTGAGGAAACGTCACACTGTTCTCCACAGTGGCTGCACCAGTCTGCATTCCCACCAGCAGTGCACGAGGGTTCACTTTTCTCCACATCCTCGCCCAGCGGGAACTCTTAAGAAGCTTAGGATCTCAGACACATAAATCCATTGGGGATACATCTTTAAGGAGGGCCCGGCCATGTGGCAGACAGGACCGTCAGATGGGAGGTTTGGCGTAGTGGTTAACAGATGCCCAGCTGGCTTGAGCAAAGTAAAATAAAACAAAATGAATTCACTGGTTCCTAAAACAGAGAGCCCAGGGAATGGACAGACCACCAAGGAGATTTTCTGCCTGTATGAGTCTGTATCTATATCCCTCGCAGCTTCTGTTTCTTTTTTTTTAAAAAAATATGTTTTTACTGATTTTAGAGAGAGGAAGGGAGAGCTGCCTCCTGCCTGTCCCCTGCTGGGGATGGAGCCTGAAACCCAGGCTTGTGCCCTGACCGGGAATCGAACCAGCAACCTCTCGATGCTTGAGACAACGTTCAACCAACGGAGTCACACAGGCCGGAGCTCCTGGCTTTTCAATTTAGTGCCTCTCTCAGTAGGGCCACCCGGCCCATGCAGCTCTCGGTCTTCAAAGATTGCTGGGATTCCGTTTTGTGGACGTTCCCTGTTCATTTAACAGCCAGGCTTGATGACCGGTCAGGTTTGACCACTGGTCAGGCTTGCTTCGAGTCTGTGGCCTCCACAGTGCAGGCCACACTGACTGTCCTGCTGCTTTGGGCACGTGCACGCCCCTGCCAGTGAAGTGACAAGCAGTTTAACCTGGCAGCTTGCTGTGCCGAACCTTCTGCTAAAACATAACAGACAAAACTTCTGTAAACAGCCAGCCTGACTGTATGTGAGTCCCTTAAATTCATTCTTTAGCTTTCAGTACAAACAGACAGCGGTGGGATCCATCATTACAGGGTTACTGGTAGGATGGGGAGAGAATTTCCGGTTCTGCAAAGGGAAGGGTGTGCTTCCTATTAAGGGAACCAACCCTCCGTCCCTCCGCCCCTCCCTCCTTCATTCAACACCTAGAGTGCCCACGGATGGCCAACGTGGGTAAGTCACACCCAAGAGCAGGAAGCCGTTGGACGACTTAGAGGGGCGCCAACACGGGTGAGTTGCTGGGAGCGAAGCCGTCCTTATCAGAGCCACACTGTACCGGGCAGCAGTTCCCTGGAGCGAGGAGGCTATTTTTAAGCAGCAGTGTCGAGTTTCAGCGTGGAAATTCTGAACATCCGAGCAGGCAGCTTGCTGGCTTGCTAATCTTTGGGGTCCTGATGCCAGGGACTGTGTTTGCTCAGCCCTGGACCCCAGCACCTGACCTGGGCCTGCTTGCCCTGCAGGACGAGCAGAGAAGGGAGTTCCTCCGTGACAAGTAATTATGTGAGTCCCGTCGGCTGGTTTCACTTCTGCTGCATGTCTCGCGGGGCCGGCCCGGCTGGGTTCCTCCCGCCAGCCTGTGTGTTCGGGCCGCGAGGGGACCGTGGGGTGTTCCTGTTGCCGTTTGTAGCTCTCGGGGAAGACACACTGCCTTTTGGGGGGTGTCTCCGAGTGGCTTTGTTTGCCAGAGCCGGCCACGTTCCCAGGCGTCCCCTTAGCTTGTGTGCGGGTGACCGGGACGGCCAGATGGGGGGACACTCGGGCCGGCCCGCCTCCAGCTTGTATGCTGGCCCGTGTCCAGGTCACGCCGGGCGAGTCTCCGTCCTTCTGTGTCGCTGAAGGGAGCGCTGGGGAAGGCAGACTCTGCCCCTCTCCTTTCCGCAGTGAGCGCGGTGTGAGCAGCAGGGCTGTTGGACAAGACGGACACGGGTCAGAGCCGGACCCGGCTGCCTCGGACGTCTCGAACCTGGGGCTGCACCCACTCTCCTGAGCTTTCTTCCCTCCTCTGTACAGTGCAGAAGTACTGACCACCTGGCCAGTAGAAAGATGAATTCTGTTTTTTGAAATAAATAATTTGGGCTTGGCGGCAAAGCACCTTTGATTGCGACCCCAGCTTCTTAGGAGCCCCAGTTCTGTCCCCCATCTCCCCTGAGGAGGTGGCCCCACGGGGGCCCCAGCGCCGAAGCTTTCGAGGAAAACGTGCGGATTAGGGCGAGGCCTTGATGCTGCGGGCGTGTCTTTCCCGCAGGTGCTGTGAGTGGCTGAGATGCTGCGGTGGGGGAGAGCCCAGGCCCCGCACGGTCTGGCTGGGGCACCCCGAGAAGAGGGACCAGAGGTACCCCCGAAATGTCATCAACAACCAGAAGTACAACTTCTTCACCTTTCTTCCTGGGGTACGTATGGGCAGGGACCACACCCGTTTTTTTCTTCCCACACCAAATGCACCCAGTGGTGCCAGTCTTAGAAGACGGAGGTCCCCGTGGCAGGTTTTACGAACCCGCGCTTGTCTTTTCCACACCCCGTTACCACTGGCGGTGGCTGCTCTCTGTCTGCACAGCTGTGAGACCACCTGACCGGTTAGAGCAACTTCACATTTATTACTTACTTAGTGTGTTGTGCGTAAGAGAGGAAAAGATATTACGGGGACCTGGCATTATAACCAGAACCCCGGAAAGCCCCAGTGCTTAAATTTCCCCCCATCGTCACGAAACACATAGTTAGCTGTAGGAAAGTTGGGGGATAAGAATATAGAGAAATAAAAAAAATAAAAGATGCATTTTAATCCTTTCACCCAAAGAATTTCTGTGAACATTTTTTGCTCCGCTAACATTTTTGCTGATGACTTTCTGGTTTGCTTGGTGTGTTACTCTGCAGTCTTAGCCCTTCCCAGTAACTTATGCAAATACATGGACAGGTACTCCTCCAACCTTCTCCCGACGCACGTAAATCAAACGCCGATTTTTATTCACTGTGGCCTCCGGACACTGATCGACTATAGAAGCCGCAGTGGCAGCCAGTTTCAATGTTGGAAAGGAAAAAATGTTACGATCTTCAATTTATTGCGAGATAATACGGACACACACACACATTATACTGTAGCTTAAGGTCCCTTCGAATGCTTTTTTTCTTTTAACCAGAGTCCGTACCTTTATTCACAAGGCTCTTTGACCTCTGAATAGGCTAACGATGGAATCCCATTACCTTTTCTTGGTAGTCTACAGTTGCTACCTTCTTAACGTTTTAATTGCATAGTTTCAGTTTTTCTTTTTAAAAATTATGTGTATTGTTGAAAGTATTACAGATGCCCCCCTTCCCCCCCCCCCATTGACCCCTTCCACCCTGCACGCACCCTGAATGGTTTTT